TTAACTCCCAATGCTTATTCATTTATTGTTTTTTTTTGTAGATTTTTTTTAACTGTAACCCATCTTTTAATTACAGGAATGATTTGATGCTAATTGCATGCATGACGTAATATGTAATGTGAGCTGGAGCAATTGGACGACTCGGAAAGGGTTGTGACCTGACCTGGCAAGCATGACTTGTTCTTTGCTCCCGGATGTACGTAAGACACAGCTCACTTGTGAATGAAGATAAATCGTCTGTCAATAATAATATGACATATGTTTTCAAAAGTTTTCACCCTTAGTAGAGATATACAACTTTTTTTTTTGAGAATGATACAATTATTTTCATAGTTCAGACCCCTGTCAGTGGCGGAGGCAAGGGGGCAGAGAGGCGGTCTCCCCGTAAGAAAAATGTTGGGGCGACGCCCCTCCAAAATGGAGCTGAAACCCTTTGTGTCAGCAATTCTTGCCCTTCAAAATGCAGGAAATGGCGTTTCAAAGGGCCAATATTTAAACAATTTTAAGGGAGAGCATGCCCCGAACCCCCTAGTAAGTTGTATCGCCTTCGGTGCAAGGTTGGTGAGCAGATTCCCCCCCCCCCATGCAAAATATCGTGCCGCCGCCTCTGCCTGTTGACATACGTTTTGTCACAAAATTGCACAATAGCTGGAGGTCGGAACCACTTACCATTGAGATTGTCAGAAGGGTATCTTTTAGAAATGAATTATTCAAGAACTTGATGGTCATGGAAACGATCACTATGACAAAGACTCACTAAATGAGCAATCGTCACTGATAAGATAGATATTATTGTTGTTTAAATTCTCCCTGGCCACGCCCACCACCTGCCTAGATAAATGCCAGCGTGAGCCATAGTTCGTTGCACGCGATTACTTGTAATAACAGTGCCAGTACATATTTGTAAACCTAAATGAAACATGAAGCTAGATTACATCAAATTTAACACAAACAACTATTGCGTGATTAGTTTTGTGTAGTTGCAAATCTCTATGAACTTAAGGAGTTATTAAGAGTTTGAAACTGTTATGGCTTTGTAAAGTTTCAATTCCTAATTTCCGAGTTACTATTTTTCTCACGAAATTCGATAGAGGGCGTTCTCAAAGTACCCGGATGACAGTCCGTTTATTTTTTACAAACGTTTTGCAAGAATTGGTCAAAATGGTTAACTGGCATTGTAATGCCCCAGACTATTCCTTGGGTTCGATTAAAAAGAAAAAAACAGCGAAATATCCTGAGATGAAAGGCGTAACTTTTCATACATTTCTTTCGTCCAAGAAATCAACACTTCAACGCCAGTGGATTCGAATGCGTCGTTGGGAATCTGAGTGGACGCCAAACTATATTCCCGGGTTTGTTCACGGCATTTTCCATCCTGTGCCAGTATTCTTTTAGTTCAATAACTGGAGACAGCAGTCTTTCAACCGCAGTTATACATCGATTGAAAAATGAAGACTCTGTCAGCTTCCCGAGACGAGCGCAAACGAAAACATTGAGCCGGATTTGATGAAAAATTCGCTCGTTGCCGATTCCCACTTCAATCTTCTTGTTCAGAATCCTTATGATGGCATTTTTTGCGAAGTTGAAGTTAAAATAACTACGGAAGGAAAAAACGTGTGTCCATTTATGATAACTGCATCTACACCCCTCCTCCACGATATCGCACTTCGAGCAATAATTCTGTAATTGCTTTTCATAAAAATACACGCCTTCGTTAATATAAGGCTGTCATGGCGTAAAATACTCCTTCATCTATTACTTTATTTTGCCAATTTTCCTATTCGTTTTTCCACGTTTGCAAACTTCAAGTTTATTTGTTATTTTCCTCAATATTCACGGACACGGACCAGCTGTTCGATCACCGTCACACATCGTGTACGTCTGTTATTCGTTCGATTTTATTTCCCGCAGCTGCGTACCTTATACATGTATATAGCACAAACGTGTTTTATGTATTATATGAGATAGTATAATCGCCCGGTAAATGCGCTGAACCCCACCTGTTCCACAATGATGGTAAAATGACGGACACATTCAACGTTAACGTCGTTTCAGTCAGTATTTATTATAAGAGTGGTATTCTGAAATCATTTCTGAAGCGTTAAATTTGGAATACTATGTGACATGAAACTAGATGTTATGAATATGCGTGAATTACAATAAATAATTATGAATTCGCCTGGATTCGAAGTAATTCAGATCAAATACGAATACGTATGAGTGAATCCATGCTCTTCACTGTCCAAGGGCGCTAGCTAATGAAATAGGAATAATCAATCAACCGAATGGGAAGCTGAATCGATTGCCAATATTCCATGCTAATTCAGACTAAAGAATATTTCACAAGAATATCCCAAGAATTTTAGGGATGATGCCAAGGAATGGACGTTAATTACCGGGAGGGTGGAGAAAGTCGGTGATCGAAATTGTATGACCCTCTCACACTACATGAACCGAACATCTCTGACCCTCCGCCCCTGTTAAGCTGGAAAAACGATATAATGACCCACCCTCAATAATATTTGCATCGATATTCATAAATGAATATTCATGCTTCACTGAACAAATCAATGCTAGCTAAGCCTAGTCGATTTCAGGAGATCGAAGGAACATTTAGAGTGACAAAATCTACTAAACATTCACGTGATGGATTATCTTAAATATTTAAATTCAGGATGAAGTACTAGTACATACTAGTTAAAACGGAGGAGTCGTCACCTGCGCATGCGTCAGATGTCCATACCGGTCATTGTTTACAAACAAGCGTCTATCCACGAGCCTTTGCGTTTTTAGCATGTGTTGTTATCGTCGCTTGGGACTCAATTCCCGCGCGTGCGCAGGTGACGACCCTCCCGCTTTAAGCTTTTACATGGCAACCCACAACAAAGATCGGTGGTCAGAAATCTAAAAAGCAGCCCTCATCAAAAATGAACATTTTTACATCCAGAAACACCGCAACGCAATTAATATATTACTTTAAAATTGGGACTAGTGATGAAAAGAACACATGCAGACATGCAACTGTTTTTTTGTTATAAAAGAAACGCCATGTTTGAAATATACACCAACTTCACTAGAAAGTCATAAATGAAGTATACTACTGTATGTTAAAACTGGTGAGAATAAAACACCGATAAAAGAAACATTGAAGTTGCAGAATAGTGAAAACATATGAAAAAAAGTTATTCTGATATTCATAAGTTAAACCAATGGGGAGACGAGCTGAAAATAAAATGATAATGGAACACAGTTATAGCTACATTATATTGATACAAAAAATGTCCATGGTGGAAGCTGATTGGATAACAATTATAAGTGATGTGCCTCTGATAGTACATATATGTGTTTATTCGTGAAATACATTGGTGGGCTAATGGTTAATAACACATTAAAATGTTAAAATAATTCATGCTGACATCTGACGTCAATATTTTGAAACCCAAATACATTCATATAATATATATTTCAACTGTAAGTTTCAAATATCAAACGTTCGCCACACATGTTTACGAAACTCAAAATACCGACATTTGGGCGTTAAATGTTTGCCAAGAATATGAAACAGCTTCTTCGCATGAATCATACACAACATATATATTCATTTTAAATTTTTGAAACGTTCATACAATGTGATCCTGCCATTAACTTAGACGGCAATAAGCATTCCGAGCAATTCACGTGGACAGCTCATGTTAAGATAAACCGGACAGGTGAGAGACAGCTGCAATTACTGGTAACTGTATCAGCGACCGAACAGTTACACACTATTAAAAATAAATAGTTGTGACTTGAACATCTGTACAGTTATTACCACTTCTTGACCACGTGACAAATTATAAACATGTGCAAGTGATATTTATTATTGCTGACAAAGAAAACGAGTTTTAAGTTTCAGAGAGGTTTTCTGTCTACTTTTGTCGCGAGACCTAATACGGTACGCGACGGCCACAACTAAACTGCATTTTGCGATTTACGATTTATTAATTTTTAAGGTTGGGTAGCTTAGGATTATAGAAAATGGTAAGGTATTGTACAGGTATGGTTTCTTGACCTAAGTAACGCAAACCATTATATTAATAAATCAAGTTATAGTTTTATATGGTGTTATTTCTAACACCTTGAATTTAATTCAATTAAACTATAAAACGCATCACTATATAGAGTTAAGTTTTGATTAAATTGCATTTTTATACAGGATTGCAATTCTATTGACCTTAATTAAATTGCATTCCTGAATAGGAATCGAAAATTGAAAATCGCAAGTTGCAAATCGCGGCTCAGTGGTGTCCGTACGTGACTGGTGGTAGTTAAAAAGACCATTATATTGCAATTAAAATAAACATGTGTATATATATTCGAGTTTAATTTGATTCACACGTGACCATTACGTCATTTTGAATTAGTCACCTCATAACGTTCTAATATATCATAGCCATGGTTACCGTATAGAATTTGTTGACTTTTTTCTCAAAATTGTAGATGTTGATTTCTTAAAAATTATTGACTTTTTTTACCATTATTGTGAATATGTTTAGAAACGTTTGTTGTTCCACATTCTAACTTCTTCATTAGATGAACTATGAACATGTATTTGCGTTCGGGTCACTACAGACGTTCTAAGTAAACGGTAATGCCTACACGTAGTAATGACAACAATGGTGTGAACTTGTACCCTGGGAACAGTACCCCTGGGACAACATAGTGCGCATGCGCATATATGACCACGAACTCTAAGATATATATATTTGTCAAGTTGTGTACAGAAATGGTTGCTATAGTAACGGTGGTTATGTCAACAGCACAAATCTCGACAAGAGAATAATTACATTGTTAATGAATTAAGCTTAAAATTCACGAGAGACACTTCAGTGAGTACGTTTGAAGCGCAAAACCAGAGGGACATTCCATAGATATCAAAGTTCCTTTGATAACAACCATATTTGGGTATGTGGAATTACCACTAGCTTAGGCGGACTAGTGAACTGGCAGACGTCATGTATCGCGATTCCTTTCCAACTCCAGCGCACTCGTACGATCTGCTTTGATTAGAAAACCCGGACCCCGGTTTTTCCATCTCCGGGCGCCGCGTGATCGAAAAATTGTTTTCAAAGGTATGTTTTTTTTCTGTTTCTTTTTAGCAAAGTGCCATGGTGCATAAAATAAGGGCAGCCCGGACAGATGTGTCCCTTGAAGTAAAATATCGTTATGTACGGCTGTTACGTTTTGATGGCAACCAGGGTCCGTGCAGTCAAGTATGAAGTGCGATAGTTGGAGCCGGAGCGAGGGGTTACTGCATAAGACCATATTCCCAACGGGTTTCTCTTTATTAACTGCAATGTTTTGACATCTACATTACAGGTCGAAGTCGGTGACGAGTTGTCTAGTTCCTCGCAGATAAACACACATTGAAGACACAAACATCCAAGGTATTTAAAGTGTCCTGTTGTTGTAGTATTACTGATTAAATTCTTGAATCGTATTGTTTTGCATTGGGGTGAGAACTATACGGACGACTTGTCAGTGTTGACAACCGTTTAACATTAGCAGTCTGTGATCTTAATGTCGTGGTGTCCATGTGAACGCCAGTCTATGAACCATGATATAGGAATGTCCTTCAATTCAACCCGGACTGTTGATATTCGCGATGTTTTCAAAGCCGCTTACTTTCAATGGTAGAATTCGTTTTAACGCATATACTGCACGCATTAGTACTTGAAGTTAATGACGTGCACGCGAGACGCTATACCGACTTATAACATCCCTCAGCAACGTGCCCAACCACTTTTAGTGTTCCCCTATTTCGGATCGCAAAATACTTTCTCGTCTAAATATTTCGAAACTGAATACGATATTAGGAATTTCATTGCGCGTTTAAAAACCCTTGTTATGCCTCTTAATAGTATGTCAACGGATGAGTACAATTTGTGTAACGATAGAATCGAAGTTGTAATTCGATACACTTGTGGGCGACATCGAGGTCATCACTTTGTCACCAAACACTATCGCCTGCTCCGGCACCACCGCATACGTCGCCGATAATTGTTTTCAAGTTAATATATAAGTAAACACGCGCTCGGGACACCAACCTTTCTAGGCCTTTTCCGTCGTGTTTAGTGGTGTCTCCGGATGTGTAAATAACTCACGGTGACCTTTATCGTTTACATAAGTTGGCAGACTTACCAAATAAATTATCGAATTGACATACACTTGAGTTGGTGGCACATGTTGACAAGCGTTCAACGTGAACAATTGGACTGACAAATATAGCGCTACAATTCCTCAACTCTCAATGTACACACTTGAACACCAAAGCCAAAAGACGTGAACATTGTACAAATTTGAAAGTAGTAGTTTCGATAGTTCTTGATTAAAAAAAAGAGTAAAATGTATCATCGAAATACATAGCTCAGCTGAGTACTCACTGTATATGTGTTAGTCCGCCATTTTAAAACTTGACTGTATTCACTACAATGTACCAATCGCACATCAAATGCATGGTTTCAAATACAGACATGGCACTTCTTGTCAAACGCTGTTCTAAAAATACAGATAGTTATTATGCGATTCCGCGCCTTGATATCATTTCCAACTGTATTTTGAAATGTATACTTGTCCCCGCAAAGCGAGTCTTTCTATTTTGGGACTATATTAAACGGAAACAAAAATAATCGTATGAACATGAATCAGTCGGTGGCATTATAAAGAATTATCCACTATTTTAATGTTGTCTCAAACGCTCAATTTAGTTTCAATACATGGTAATAAACATGTTAACAAGCCGACTGTTCTGTTCAGATTTACTACCTCTACTAAATATTAATTATGATCTTAAACAAAATTACTGATCCGTGTAACTTGAAAGATAACAATCATTACGTATTTAGTGATGTCATTTCTCATAAGAATCTACGCGTCGGCTATGTGTACAGATTGTTCGCATTGTAATGATTCACGTTGCTATGACAACACACACCCAAATTGCGTGCGTGAACTCGGAGTTAAAAATTATTTTTGGAGTGCCCAATTAAATCAGATTTGTTTGTTTTGTACCTCGGGCCATTTCCATAGACTGATTGCGTCGGATTTGTGCTTTATGGACATACTCTGGCTGACTGGATTTGATCAATGAGAGCGAGCATGTCGTTTCTGCGCAAGCGAAGCTGACCAGAGTTCGTGTGGAGTACAACTAAAACAGCCCCATGTGTAAGTCGAGTCAATGGACTATTTTTAAAACCAGCGCACGCTTAATTTAGACATAATTTTCTTTTTGTAAATAAGACGAATACACGTGCGTTGTTACCTTATATTATCGTGGTGTGGTTTCACACAGTAGCACCGTTGGATATAGACTGGCGCAGTCGGGGCGATTAATTTGTTTTTGTAGTTTAAATAAAATAAAAAAAATCGCGAAATGGAGGTGTTAGCGCGAAATCCCCTGTAACTGCGAAATGACACCTCCATTTGGCGATTTTTTTTTA